CACAAAAAGTTGAACTGATGAATAAATACATGGACAAATGAATAAATGAATAAATTTTGTCAGGAGRAATTCCATGAAAAATATCTTACATGTTGAACTGTTGTTTTCATAACATTAAAATGGTTGTGCTAGATAATCTTTTATCCTTTTGAAGGCCCCGAGATAATACATTTTTTGCCTACACATTTAAATGGACAAAAGAATGAAGATCAAGAAGATGTTTCAAAATCACTCACTTACCCAGCAGCATAAAAACCACTTTGATTTCTGGTCACTGGTTGACAAAAACACATGAAGAGTACAGGAGGGGTATGGATCCAAGTGCCAGAGTTAAAAATCAAGTTAGTATAAAAGTTTATAAGAAAAAGCAAAAGATAGGAATCAATTTTAAGTAATAACCAATCTTAGAGAAGAATGAAGAGGGAAGTAGAAAAATAATTTGCAACCAAAAGTAGAAATCAGCTGAATCACCTGATGCCTGGTACATTKGGCAGATGATTTCAGTCACCAACAAAAGGACACCATCATAATGAGCTGAAAATACTAAGGGAAATTTTATTGGGTGACATGAYTGAGAATTCCAGGGATCATTCAGGCTTTGGATACTGTTTAATCTAAACTCTTCTGTGAGTCTGTTGTCTCTACATTCTTGACTATTTGATTAATACATAGACTTGCTGTTTCCGGAGTTGAAAAAATAATTTGAGCTGATTTCAGCTTTATATCCTACATGATAACATTCAGAAAAAGAGAGAGTATCACTTTCCCCTTACTAACATCACAGATTTAGGCTCCTTATAAACCGAGCCACGTTAGGACAGGTACATACCCAGTCTCGTTCATCCAAGCAAAGGCAAGTGGAAACTATAGAATGACTACCTTAAATGATAGGTTGCCTGTCCATTCTTTAGCTTATCACTTTCTCAAGGATGAGTTCTCAAGATTGTCTTAGGCTGATCACTGCAGTTGAGAGTGGAGTTAATCAACCAAACCACATGGCTGCCATTCAAATGTGGSAAAAAGAATTGGAAGCTAGACAGACTGGAGCCAATCATGTCTGTTCCAAGTAGAAAGTATGAAGTGTCCCAATGTTTGATCACCCCCTTCTCCTGCTTTTCATGTTTGCCTTTTCTCTCATGACAACTTCACTTCCCAAAAGTTTGACTACATTTTGGATCTACTCTCAGTGCATATGTTTGCTATGCAAATAGTAAAAATTTGAATTGTGATGAATGAATGGATGGATGGATGAATTTTTTAGGAGAAAAAAAACATAGGAAAATATCTTACATGGCCTGGTCTTTCTGGATATTCCCCTTGCCMTGGGTCCCCTCTTCTCAGTTCTCTAAGCAACACGAGGCTAAGTACCTTTTTCCAAGTTAAGCTAAAGTAAGTTGCTCAATGAGAAAACTAAGAAAGGCCAAAAAATAATAAAGAGCAGAATTCAATTTTTTAAAGAACATTTTCAAGCTCATACTTGTGTGTGTGTGTGTGTGTGTGTGTGTGTGTGTGTGTGTGGTGCTGGAGAATGAACCCAGGGCCTTGTCCATGCGAGGCAAGCACTCTACCAACTGAGCTACTGAGCTATATACCCAGGCCCAGTGATGATCTTTTTTTTTCTCCATTATTTTATACTCAATATGCACCTGCTGCATAATAAGTATATAGTAGGTGCCTAGGAGCTATTGAATCCATTTAGGAATTTTAAAGTAATTGAAGTTAATCATGGATATCTTGACTCACACTGCCACTTGGGGTCATTAAGTCCACCTTCATAATCAAGRTTTCTGTATTTGCTAACTTGTCTATTTATTGATCTTCACTTGTAACCCCAAATCAATACTCAGTTTTTTATGGATCTGTGCACTGTGGTGCGACACTTGAGTCACATGAAGGTCATGCTAGTTGGGCCAGTGAGTTGGAAGATGGCCTACTTTGCCTATGTGAGAGGCTCTCAGGGTTCAGCACACTGAATCTGGAAGTTGTGGTGAGCACACTAACCACACTCAGCCCCATCTCCGTGGTAACCTGGCCTCTCTCAGGTGCACAGCATGTTCTTTGCCTTCTGCTTTTCTGCCACTGACCTACTAATCCATTGGTTACTGMTTGTAAGTATGTTTCTGGCTCTTTGGATCATTATGACCCTCAGATAAATCTGTCCAGTGACAGGCTATGCTTAAAAGCTTGCCTATGAAATAATAAAGTGGATCCAGCTCTCGGAAACTGGKCTCCAGAGGTCTCTTTTCAATTTCGTTGCCACACCCTCCTCAGCTGTTCYGAGGGCTTCTGCARGACCCAGCGAGCCCCTACACACTCCCTAGAAAAGTCACAGGAGGTRATGTTCTGCCTCTGGTTTCACTCCCCACTACAGGACAAGCATCTTTCTGTGGTCTCTTCAGCATCATTTTTTTTCCATATTTTTGTGTCCTTTGCTACTGATTTTGTGAATTAAAATGACCCCAAAACGTACTGYGGAAGTGCTATCTACTGTTTTTTAACTCAAAAAGGCTAAAATGTGCCTTAAAGAGTAAATAAATGAGTTAGATCAACCTTGGGTTACAGTTAGAGTGCAGTTGGCTGTGACTTCAATTTTAATGAATAAACAATACAGAACACCGGGGAAAAGAGGAAATCTGATGAGTAAGTGAGGATTTTTTTTATAGTAACAGATGTAATAATATGAGTAAGCTTTGTAAAAGCAGCTAAATTTATTTTTTTATTGAGACAAAGTAATTTTTTTTTTAAGTAGAGAGAATTGTAGCAAAGCTGAAAGCCAAAAAAAAAATCTACAACCACATTATTCAAGTCAGGAAATTGTTATACACTTTTCAGGTAGTGTTTCAGTACCAAAAAAAAAAAACTACATATAAATAATTATTTGCAATTTATTTAACTGCATTTAAATAATATATTTTAAAACAAAATATACAAAAACAAAGTTATGTATTTAATGTTTAACAAAAACATTATAAACTTCTAACCCTGTTTTTACCTTAGTAACATGGTTCAGTATTCASTAATCCAGTATTTGCAGCAGCCACTGTATAGAATATAACTACAATGAATAATGACAAYAACGTACTGTATGTACATTACTTACTTGGACCCTGTATTAATCCTTAGGAACAATACTYTCTTTTTTGATTCTTTTCTCTTCAGTGTCACACTTGTACCATATTCCAAATACCACCTATATCAGACGCCTTTCAAGTTTTTTTATTAGTTGTTCAAAACATTACAAAGCTCTTGACATATCATGTTTCATACATTTGATTCAAGTGGGTTATGAACTCGAATTTTTACCCCGTATACAGATTGCAGAATCACATCSGTTACACATCCACGTTTTTACATACTGCCATACTAGTGTCTGTTGTATTCTGCTGCCTTTCCTATCCTCTACTATCCCCCCTTCCCTCCTCTCCCCTCCCATCTTCTCTGTCTACCCCATCTACTGTAATTCATTTCGCCTTTCAAGTTTTAATGCACCCAGTGAATCTACTGTTGATTTTTTTAAATGTAAAGAATAGTTCATAAGTCTAACATCAGAGGCCAGATTCTACCTTTCTACCAACCTCCAATGTGATCAATCTGCCATTTGACTATCAAAACATTGAATACKTAGAAGCTTCATCCTCCCCAGCTCTTTCAATTTAAAATCTTTGGAACAATAGTTCCACTATACTAATTCTCTACAGTTGAATAACAAAAGGGGAAAGATGCAAAATTGTGTTTCTTCTCAGAGGCTCAGAGAAGAAATTGTAAAACTAGGATAGCTTGAAATATCTTGGCAAAGTGAGAAGACTTTTAATAAGAGGCACATCAAATATCTCAACTGTAACACAGATGTCAGGAAAAGAGAAAATTTTAAAATATTAAACATTTGGCTTAAATTAAATACTGTTTTTCTTAAGAACAGTTATGTGCAGGCAAGACACTTCCCCAGGGTTATAGACATTAAAAAGACACACACTTTGCTCTCAAGTTTCTAATATTAAAAGTTGAAAAGAACCTACACAACTTCCAGAGAAGCTAGGGMGTGAGGGGTATGGATAGCAAAGTACAGTTGAAATGTGGAATAACATAGGTGAGAGACTGACTGCTTTCCACTGGGAATCAAGGAAGGTCCTGGGAAGGATGTAASCTGTGAAGGTGTGTGGAATGCACCTAATGATCAATTAATRTAGAACAAGGTGGAGTTAAAAACTGAATTTTAAACCCCCAGAATTCAGGTGAGMACAACAAATCCTGCAAGCTTACACTGAGCATTTCTTRGTTAACTGATCATGAAGTAGCAATAARTTATAAAGGTTTCACGAGGAGAGTTGAAGTGATGTCATCACCATGTGGTGTTGAGGTGTATGATGAGCACCTGGGTCACTGGGTCCTCATTTCAAAGGGAGAGCACTGCAGAGGTTCACGGTTTATCCKAAAGTGAACCAAGTGAGAAAAGAGCAAATTACAGAAATTCATAAGGTGCAGGTAAGAACTGAGGAGACAGAAAAAATATGAAGGGGACTAAGGAGAAAAGTAAAAGTGAGGAGAAAGAAAAAAATGGTAATAAAAGTGGGGAATGAGGGAAGAATAGGAAAAAATGAATTACAAAGAACTCACCAGAGCTTCCTAAACCAAATGCAAGACCTATCAGAAGAGCCAGGGCCACCAYCATGGCCAAGATCAAGCCCGGGAAACTGTGATGCTCTGCAGATTCAAATGGACACCAAGGATGTTATTTTAAATCCATTCCCTGTTTGACCCATCTGCTCCCTGTTTCATTGTATTACCTGGGCTTCTCTGGTTTGTCTACCAATCTTTCTCCCCACTTTTTCTCAAATCCCTCTTCAGAGATGAATACTTTATCAGCCCACAATATCCTCCTGCATCTACTCATCCCTCGGTTTTTAACTCTTCTATTCCTTTGATCAACTTACTTGTCTTTTTTTAGGTCTGGAATCCCCCAMTCCCAAATTTATAGCTGGCCCTTCTGCTCTTCTAGATGATCACAACCTCCCATCTCCAGCCTGGGTCCCACTCTTACCACCCCAGTGGAGGACGAGGTCCTGCCCTCCTAGGCTGCTGTGCTTCACCCTGCAGGCCAGGCCAGCCGCCTCCTCAGCTGCCACATCCAGGGTTGCTCTGACATGCCACGTCCCATCACCATTGGGCAGGATGTCACCTCTCTGAGTGCCCAGCTGCTCCTGCTCACCTCGAATCCACATCACCCACACGGGCTTTGGGTAGAATCCAGACACGTGGCGCACCAGCAGCAGATGGCCAGGCCCAGGGCTGGGGCCACTGGACACCCAGGCCTCAGGCTTCACTGCAAAGGACAGAAAGGAGGTTCACAGGTAGACATGAAGATAGCTGAGTGGTTCAGATCCCATCACCTTTTAAGGTCCATCTTTCCCACTTCTGAGCATGTCACTCACCCKCCTCTCCTCTGTGACCCCTTCTTATTCTCAATTTGCTTTTAGATTACAAAGTTCTTGGAGAATGGGTATGGTACRGACCTTGTCACTGGAGATGAGCCTTCCCTGCATCAAGAAGATCCAAGATGAATCATGGGCAGGTGTCACTGAGAAGCCTGGGCATCCTGTGTGTGAGGGCTGGGTTCAGACTGAGTAGTCTGCAGAAATCTTGGGCCTTTCTTCCTCCCTCTGGAGAAGGCAACCATGTTTCATTCTGAAAACTCAGGAAATCAGTTCCTTGAACAGCTAACTGCAAAAAGCCTAAGAAGTTCTTCCCAGAACGCATCTCACAGCCTGCTGCCATCTGTATATCAAAGGGACTTAGGGAAGAGGGATTCAATGAATTAAAGGACAAAGGGAATTTAAAAAGGATAAAATGGAATGAGTAGAAGCAACACACAATAGAAGTGGAAAGGAGAAGTTTTGGAGATTTACAGGAATGGAACCAATTCTGGTTGGATCACAGGTGCACAGAAAAGGGAACTGGTAGGAGTTGGAGGTAGAGGAAGAGGTGAATGATTTGAAAAAAAAAAAAAAAGGGAAAATTGTTCAAAGGAACCTGGAACTGTGTGGGAGGGAAAGTTGTGAGTCTGAGATTGTAACAAGCTAGGGTAAGTGGATCCTGTGGTTACAATGACTGTGTAGACAGGGAAGGCTGAAGAGATTCAATGGGGGAGAGGAAAATCGCACTTTAAAGAGCTAACCAAAGAGTGAGGAGGCTACCTAATGAGAGGTCTGGGAAAAGGGTGGACACAAGATACATCTCTAAGGCAGGATGATAAAATACAGTCCTGAAATCAATGAGAAAGCAGATCATAAGTAGCAGAAGACAGAAGGGTTTGAAGGATCTGGTTTATAGAACTTGCCCAACTGTGTGATTGTAATTTTATGATGGAGAGAAAGGAGTAAGATTCAGAACAGAGTATGCGATTTCCTAGAGGAATAAAACCTCATAGAGAGATACCCCATGCACCACCCTCCCAATTGAGGGAACTGAACTCACAATCCAATTGTAATAGACCAGTGTGAACTGCCTGAGAGACACTAGTGAAGTAGTTTCGGAAATATGTTTCCAGTTCACTCAACTCCTTGTTGCTGAATTTGCCCTTGGACCAGGGATACAGGAAAATGATAGTATCAGAGCTGCTGTCCCAGCTGTGAGTCTGCAGTTCATGCAACCCAACTGAGCATTTACCTTGTACCCAAGAATAGTTATACAAGGATGCAGTCTTGCTGATATGGACGGTAATAGGATCTTCAAACCCTGTATGTAGCAAAAGAACAGAAACAATGGGGAGAAATGAGATACTTGGAAGGAAAGAACTGGGAAAAAATGGCACCAGAATGGGAAGACTCAGAATGCGAAGCACAGAAGGAGCTCATTTATCTTAGGTGGCATTTGCTTATTACAGGGTCCCTTGCTCTCTCTGTAAACACCCTCTAGAAGACTACAGGGACCTCGAGTCAGGGGCATTTATGATAGCACCATCATGGCACTCTGACTCTCTAGGTATAAACTACCAACACACACACACACACACACACACACACACACACACACACACACCCTCTTGCACCTAACTGGTCAATTGCCCCAGTTCTTATCAATTTCACTGTCACAGCATGGCACTTGCACTTGTTATTGTTTTCTCTCTGAAAAGTTTTTCTTTGATTTCTGTTCTAAACAAAAYCTATCCCCGCAGAAYTCTCTTCTTACTTCCTTCTCCAACCAGCAGAAAAATGTTTACTGTCTGAAACAAGAAAATTCTGCTYCCGGCCAAAACCCTGAGCCTCCTACTCAGTTTCCCATTTCCCTTTAGTTTGGGTTTTCTTCTAAGATTCCAGCTTCTCTCACTGTCACCAGCTTCTGTTCCACTCATCTTCTCCTATTTTGACTGCCACRGAACAAGTTTTATATGGCACTGAAAAGTCACTTTATCAATAGGGAATTTTTTTTTCAGTGGTGAGGATTGAGCCCCGGATCTTGTACATTTTCTGTAATTCTGTCCACTTGCCCCTTTGCATTATTCCCCCATGTGTTGTCTTCCTTTTCTGCTTTGCACATCTGGGCTGTCTCCCCAAAACTCTCAGTTGCTGGCTTCCCTGTGACCCACACTTTTGACCTTAGTGGTCTACTTTTTTGCCTTCAATTTTATGTCTCCAAACCCCAAATCACTAAGGTCCCAATTGCTGTCCACCCCCTTCCTCTGCTGAAGCAGCTTCAAGATTATATGCTTTGTGTAGTTTTTCATTTGTTCCTTGGTGGTATCTGTCTATTTGCTTTGGAAGGAGTATGGCTGCAGATCTACCATTTGTGAGTCAGACCCTAGAGAATGTGTGTCGTCTGTGCTTTTTTTCTGCAGTAGGAGCTCCTAGGCTCATGASAGAAAAACAGAATCCTAGATTCCAGAGTTTTAAACATAACTACACTTAAAAAATAAAAATAAAAACTTTCTACCTACCAAGAGATCATTACAAGCTTTCCAGTGTTGTGTCTCCCTTTCCTAACCACTGCGGGTCCTCACCTCTGGCCCCATGTTCTTATACAGTGTCCTTGTCCTTAGTAAATGTTCTAAGACCCCATATTAGACAGTATGAGATCTGGAGATACTTGTGGTTTGGTTACTAGAGCAGAAAATAAGGAGAGAATTCCTTAACCTTAAGCCCAAAGCAGAGAATCGAGAAGGCTGAGCAACAGAGAGAGAAAGGAAGATGAAAATGTTAAAAGCTCACTACTTGAGCAATAGCTGGAAAAAAGCAGGCCAAGTTGAAACACAACAGGAACAGCTGGATCATTGAAGGAGATCCCCAGCAGTGGACCGAGTRCTAKGCCAGGCATGACAGTCTTTTGAGCATATCAGCATCACCCCTCCTTCAAACAGCAACAAATACCACCAGAAGGAGTTCCTCTACAAGGAACTTGTAGAGGGATAACTACCAACTGAAAGTGGCTGAAACCCTCAACGCCCCCTCCTCCATTATAAATAAGGGGAACGGGTTGAGGTCGACCCAAGAGCAGGACACTCCTAGGAAGTGTTTGGCTAGCTCGAGAGTGGTTCCTGTACCCAGAATTTCTGGAAGAATCCAAATCTGAAAAGTGATGGACACTTNGAAACCCTCAACGCCCCCTCCTCCATTATAAATAAGGGGAACGGGTTGAGGTCGACCCAAGAGCAGGACACTCCTAGGAAGTGTTTGGCTAGCTCAGCAGTCTGTGCGTGGTCCATGGGCGCCTGGCAGAGATGGTGGCAGGAAATGGGATCTCAGAACCCAGGAGGGGAGGCAGTCTCTGTCCTCGGCAGTGGAGGGAAGTGGCACCCATGGTTCGCAACCTTAGGCGGTGGGAACTAGAACCTAGGGGAACTGGCTGAGCCTCTTTCCTGGCAGCAGGAACAGTGCTCTGGCAATTTGTGTTGGTCAGGGGGATGCCTCTGTACCACCCACCACCCATAGAGAAGCACAACCACAAGTCTCACACACACAGACAGTCACCAGCCTCCATGTCACTTTGAAGAGGACCCTGTGGAGAGGAGCAGGTGTGTGATTACCTGCAGCAATCAAACCAACAGCCCAGAGCCCCATATTCTGAGCTCCTGCACACAGAAAGAGCCAACAGATACAACACCACGTACTCAGAGCATCCAGACTCAGGACCCTGGGCTCAAATGAGAACCGGCTGGTAGAGAGTTCACAGCAACCAGGAGAGCGGCTCCTGTACCCAGAATTTCTGGAGGAATCCAAATCTGAAGAGTGATGGACACTTTCTAAATCTCTCAGATGCTGATGAAATCCAAACAGACATTCAATAAGAATYCTCTTCACTTGGCATGGTTTATCATAAATAGCTGAAATGTCAACTTTGRTCATATATCACTCTTCCTCTACATTTGATAGTTGCTACTCTACTATTTGATATTGTGCCATCAGCCCATTTGATTGTATTTCTTCTAATGTTTTAAGGCMTTATTTTGAATAATTCTCTCCTTGTTTTCCTAGCTTAGGTTCATATTTGCTTCTCTCACCTCCTTTTCCCTGTTATATTGCCTGTTGATTTTCAATCTCCTCCACCCCACCAATTTGCTTTTCTCTTATTTTTACTTTAGGGTTCATTTTTTTCTCTTATATTTTTTTCTTTTCTCTTCTTTCTCTTTCCTCTTTTGTCCAAATTTCTCTCTTCCCCTTTTGAACCCCTACATAATGTTTTAGCAGTTTGACTATGTTTGATTAGTAACTTTTCAACATATTCCAGAACCTTACAACAAGTTTATATCTGGGTTATAGAAACTGTTGAGAACACTATCAACAASTTTTTGGGTTTTCCTAAGATTGAAGAGTATGTGGATTTGCTCCGAASGATTGCAGTAAATAGGGATCTGTGGCTTCTCTCAAAGTGGTACTGAATTGGGAACCACAAAGGACACAAATTGAATAAAATTATCAATACTTACACATTTATATCCCTGGGCTCTTAAGAGGAAGAAGTTTACTATATAATCCCTTATGTTAAAAAAAGTGATAATCATCCCAGAAGATGGACAGACATAAGAGCCATATGAAAAACCAAGGGAACAAACCACACCAAATAGCCAAGACATTCCAAYAACTGACCCCRTTRATTCAGMAATGAGAACATATCAGAGAARGAATTTAGAAATTTCATAGTTAGAATGTTCAACAAGCTAGAAGACGATGAACTTAGAAAACACAGGAAGTGAAAGGTAATTTCTATAAAGAGTCTGCAGAAGAACCAAATGGAATTCCTGAAAATGAAAGGTTGAAAGGAAAGCATCATAAATAGATTAGATGACACTGAATACCAATCCCGAGGAGTTCAAGACAAAGTATATAATCTTGAAAATAAAGTTGACAATAAAGAACAGATGTTAAGAGACCATGAAAAGAATGTGTAAGACATCTGGGATAACATTAAGAGACCAAACTTAAGAATCATTGAAAATTATCATTTATAAGTGAAGTAAGACAAATAAGACAAATTCAGAAAGCCAAGGGTCAAATGTTTTCTCTAATAAACCGAAACTAGTGCAAAATAAGGGGRAAAAGGAGAAAAGAAAATACAGTGGTGGAATTCCATGAAAATAGAATAAATATCAGTGGAATAGAGGATGGGCATTGAAGGAGAGAGAGGAGGCACAGGATAATGGAAGACAGTGGAACAAATCGGACCTAACATTCCTATTTACATATATGAATATACCACAGGGAATCTCACCATTATGCATATMCACAAGACACTAAAAACAAACAAACAAACAAACAACAAAGAAACTGTAAGTAAATAGCCAGAAAGATCAGTAGACTAAAGACTAGAGGAAAGAGAACTGAGGAGGGGAGAAGGGAAAGGAGAAGTAGTGGAGAATGAACTATAACAAAGCATATYCTATGATTCTATAATTATATCAAATTGAATCCTACTGTTATATATCACTAAAAATAACCATTTTTTTTTCAAAAAATATAGGACATTTATAAAAAAAATAACAGGTAGAATTAATGAATAAAATAAAATTTAGCTCTAAAAAAATAAATAAAATGGGTGCCAACCAARGTAGTAGTGATGRGAAAACTGGATKTCCATATGTGGAAGCATGAAAGTGGACYCGTGTCTCTCWCCCAGCACACAAGTCAATTCAAAGTGGATCAAAGGCCTAGGAGTTACTCCAAAAGCTCTGCCACTGCAAGAAGAAAATAYAGGCTCAACACTCYGACATATCAACACAGGCATCAARTTCCTTATGGARACTCCTAAAGTTCAAGAAATAAAACCAAGAATCAATAAGTGGGATGCCATCRAACCAAAAAGCTTCTGCAAATAGATGATAACCCCCAGTGAATTTCACCTGTATGTGTATCTATAAAACACCAATTATAAAAAATACAATAAATAAATAGAAGAMATGCTAATAGAGAAGACAAAGGGAAAAAAGGGAGAGGAAAGAGGGAGGGGGAAGAGGAAGTACCCGAGACCAAAATGAAGCAAACTATATTTCATGCATGTGTGACCTATGGCGAAGTGCACCTGTGTATTATGATGACTAATATACACTGAAAAAGACGTTTTTGCAAATATGCTTGGAGATATTTTTAAACATATCTTTTGTTAGCAATGGACAGACAAAATAACYAAGATCTGTATACAGAAGATTGGAACCGTAATATCAACCAATATGACCCAATATATATCTATCAGACATTATACCTGAGCAACTTCTGAATGTGTTTTCTTTCAACATGCACAGAACACTCACTGTGGTTCTGCCATTAAAGAAGTTTCATTCAATATAGAAGAACTGAAACCACTGAATATGTTCTCTGATCACAATGGAAATGAACTTGGAATCCATAACAATAAGACATCTAGAAAATACATAATTAGTTGAAAATTAAACACTTCCTCTAAAGATTAATCAAATTAATATATCCCTAACAAGAATGATGAATAAAAAAGAGAAAAAATTATGAAATTAACAGTATCAAGAATAAAAGAAAGGATATTAGCACAAACTTTATCACTAAATTGATAAGATGTGAATATAATGAAAAGCTTGATGTCAATACATTTGATAATGAAGATTAAATTTTTAAAAATTCTTAAGAACATAATTTACGGTAATTGAGAGGAGAAAGTAAAGATTGTAATAACTCTATGGTAATTTGTTATTAAAACAATAAATATCAAATAAAATAAATTAAAAATAAATGTTAACATTTATTTTTTTCAACTCAACCAATAAAGAAAATTTCAGAACCAGAAGGYTTACTGAACTTTATCATTGATTAAGAAGAGAAAAAAATGCCAATAATACATAAAATCTTTGAAAAATAGAAAGGGAAGCAGCTCTCAATTTATTTTATAAGTACAGCATTTGCCTAACACTGAAACTTTACAAAGAAATTATATAAAATAAGTTACAGACCTATGTTACTCATAGACTTACACACAAAAATTCTTAACAAAAGAAGACTGGAATAATTATGATTGTGTAGATTCCAAATGCAGCATTCGGATCTTATTTCAGGCTGACCATAACTATGGAACAAAATAGGGGAGAAATGGCCCGGAGGCAGATAATCAAGTCTTCCATTTACAGCAAAATATCAACTACAAACCTCCCCACATCTTTACAGTTTACTTAAAAGTACCAAAATAAGCTTGTTTGTTCTTTTTAAAAATAGTGAGTTAAGATAAGCGTTCCAACAAATAAACTGCAGGTTAGCAGTTCTACATCAGGCACCAGAATTTCAGTTAGAAATGGTGAAACTGCAAATTTTCTCTTTAAACACCTGATGATGTTTGTGAATGTCTGTGTTTTACCACTAGGTGGCGTGGAGTAACTAGGAGCCTGGGTAACTGTTACTGAGCATCGAGTATTTASTTACTGAATATTGGAGGACTAAGACATTCTTTGGAAAAAAAAAAAAAGATTGATTTTTGGGTTTACATATATTTTTTGTTTGTCAATATAGTAAGATAGTAACAAGACACCTTTTTTACCCTGCCTTACATCAAGGCCAGTTCTTCCCTCCATCCCTAATGAAGCATTGAGACAGGCTCATTTCTGCAGCTATGAACATCCTCTATGCATTTGCCCCAAGACTTTCTCATGATGTGACTGGGACACCTGAAGAAGCTACTTAGCATGTGAACTTAGCACTCAGAACTCCACGTGTGGGGAGGTAACATACCATGGGACCATCCTTAACTATTAATAGTGTGAGGTCATGAATATGTGCGCCTCCAAAACCCCTCAGGTGAATAATAAGAGGCACAATTGGTACCGAGGGTCAGAAAGTCCCAGCAAGATCAGATCCCAGTTTTTCACACTGGTAACAAGGCTGATAGCACCGCTGTATTGGCTCTCCATCCTTTCCTGTTTTACCCTTAGTGTCCCCCCACCCCTGGGATCATGCCCCCAAATAAAGTTTTACCTATAAAACTTCTTTTGGCTTTATCTTTTTTCCTGTTTTATGGTATTATTTCCGGAAGAAGCCCAAGTAAGATCCATCACCCTGAAAAAGAATATTTTTAGCACCCAGAAGAATGAGTCATGGTTCCACTTTCCAGTCAACGACCTTTTAAAGGCAATCAGTATTCTGATCTCTATCACATTAGGTTAGTTTTGATTCTGTTTTTGATCTTTGCATTAATGGAATCTTAATGCCCATTTCTCATAGAACATTATTTCTGAGATCTATCCATGTTGTGATGTGTAGCAGTAGTTCAATCTTTTTCTTTCTGTGTAGCATTCCATTGTGTGTGACCATAAAACAATTTATCCATTCAACTGTGTATGGACATTTGAATTGTCACTAGATTTGTTATTTTGAATAACTAAGATACTTTTAAATACCATTAGACAAGTTTTTGTTTGTTTGTTTATTTGTTTTGTCAGTCCTGGACATTGAACCCAGGGCCTTTTGCAAGCTTGGCAAGTGCTTTCATGCTGGTCTACCTCCCCAGCCTTTTAAAAATTTCACTTTGACATAGAGTCTCACTGTTTCCCATGCTGGCCCTGAACTTGTGATTCTCCTGCTTCAGCACCACCACAGCTGGTTTGTAAATG